CCGGCCCGGCGGTGCCGCGGGCCCGGCCGGCCCCGTCCCTGCACGGCCGCCGCGGTGGGCTGTTGCAAGGAGCTCCGTAGTGGCGTGGAGCAGCCCTTCGCCTTGCTGGCGGCACCGGAGCCCACCCCCGACCGCCTGCGGGAGAGCTCGGGTGGCAGGAGGACTTTTTCTCTTAGGCGGGCAGGAGAATCTGCGCGTCGTCCTGTAAGTCCCGAAACACGGGGATTCGAGTTGCCTGGGGGTTCTTACGGCGGGTGTTCGTGTTGGTTTGAAGTAACGTATAACCGCGCGAAGCGTGGGTGACGTTTGTGTTATTACTCTTAGGACAGAGGCTGAAAGCTTGTACTTCTAGAAGTGGCTTGTGCATTGAGATGAATTGTCAAATATAAACCGACTGCAGATGCAAAACTTTACTGGAGAGGAGGATTTACAGTAATTACTCAAGCCATTCTTTCTCCCCTAAGGCTCTTGACTTAACCTGTCGGGTGGTTATGGTCTGGTAAGCTCCTCCTTTCCCTGGAGTTATTATAGGGTTATTTTTAGTCGGAACTGGATTTAAAAGAACACCTTGGATCTATCTCTCTGTTTAATAACAAAATGTACATCTGTGCATCTGGAGATCAGATACTCTTCAAAAGGTACAGGCGTGTCTTTGCACACTCAGTCATCAGATGTACTTATATCTTATGCAAATGACACAGAATTAAATATTACAGAGTTGATAAGGAAAGTTTGTGTTTGTTCATACCCACTGGAAGTTGCCTGAACAGTTAAATATTCTGAGGGCTACAAGGTTTTTGCAGTACGTTTTGTCTCGTATTCAGGTGAGGTCTCTTGTGAAGGTGAATTGTATATACTTCTGACTTGCCTTGATTGTTGTGTCCTGCATCCTTTCAGCATGAATTCCTTCTGTGTTTTTCCAAAGAGTGCCGATTAATACACAATAACAGGTTAGATGATGGTTACTGAAGTACTTGTCAGACCACTTCTTCAGTTCACCCCCTCACCTGCAGGTTTTCTGACTCTACAAGTACAGTAGAACGTAATGTTTACCGGTCTCTGAGCCATCATGCTTACAACCCACCATGTTAAGTAAACAGATTTACTTAATATACCAGGCTGTAACCTGCAAGCTGTTCCCCCTCCCCTTCAACTGTCTTTGTGAGAGTGGTGGGCGGACAAATGGGAATAGTAAAAACATCAGTTGTCCCAGTTTCAGCTAGTAAATGTGGATCAATGTGCAAGTGGGAAAGCACATATTGGGGAGCTTGTGGCTCTTGGTAGTCCTCACAGCCTGAAATCCTGAATTCATCATGTCTAAACAGCCTTCTGCCAGCCTGCAAACCATCCTAATATCACTGAATTTGTAGCTTTTTCCTTATGATTGGTGCTGTTTATGTACAGTTCAGTATCACTTTCATTAAAATGCTACTGACTAGATGAAGTACACTTAAAAAAAAAGGGGGGGGGGACTAAGATAAAGTTATTTAAAGTACGACCAATCCAAAAAAACCCAAGATGCTCCTCTTCTAACAAGCATTTCAACTTCTGACTGAAAATATTGAGCTGTGCTGTCATTGTCTGCAGCAGGTATCAAATACCTGTTTCCTTGAGCTGTGTTATATTTGAGAACTCTGTAGAAAATTGTTTTTTTGTATTTGAGACTCTGTAGTAAATCAGGGCATCTGCAAGCAGGCGAACATCTTAGCTGCCACCAGCTGCAACTTGCACCATGTTATTTTAGGGCAGCTTGGGAGACGGAGGGATTTACTGTAGAGTGCTGCACTACAGTTGTCCAGCAGCTGAATTGCGAGTGCTTTGGCCATCTACATATTAGTTATGGATCAGATCTTAAAATAACTTCAGAAGCTATGGTAATGCTGCCACCAATGAACTGGAAATCTGAGATCCACAGAGGACTGTCCTCCAAAAAATACTGCCTAATGTTGAAAGTAGAACGCAACTTTACATCACTGCTTTTACTTGAAGACAAAATATTTGGAAGTGGCTGAATGATTTAAGAAAAGCATCCAAATCTGCTGATTTAATACCAGAGACTGGAATCTGCATCTCTCTGGTGTTTGGTTGTTTTTTTTAAGAGCTGTAGGTGCATTTCCTCAGAAGGAGGATGTAACAAGGAAAATGGGACATCACAGGGTTTAATGATTTTAAGTCTTTAACTGGCACATGGTCAGAGATTAATGTGAATATTTAATGATTCATTAGACAGTACAGAAGAGTCTCTACATTATTACTGATTCAATGTTGTATCAGTGTTGTGTTACTGAAGAATTATTGCACCAAAATCTGAGGTGGTTGGTGGCCTTTCCTCTGTTTACTGAGATGGATTCTTTGTGCGTTATCACTGGCTGTCATGCTTAATGTAATTTCTGTCAATCCCAACACTGCAACAGACTGTTCTGCTTATGAAGATACAAAACTCATAAAATAAGTACTCAAATTGAGGGAAAAGCAACAGGTGTAATTTTCCCTTAACCATAGAGTGGGGTTGAGAAGACCTCAAGTTGGCAGAGACCCTGTACAAACCCATTCTTCAGAAGTCTGTTCTTTTAGCAATATAAATTAAATTGCATACTAAAAAGACTTAAATCTCTTCAAGCAAGCAAAATCTAGTGCTCTGGGATCAAACCCACTAGAAATGTTTAAAGTAGAGAGAGAGCTAGCATGACGGAGCTGCAAGGACGTGTTAATGTTCACTTGTTCTTATTGCATAGGTAGATTCACTTTTTAAAGTGGTTTCTATTTCAGCGCTCAGCATTCAAGGCAGATTTCAATGGCTATTACAAAATGATTCACTGTTGAAATTCTCTTGCTGCGGTAGAAGAGCCGGTTCAGGGTGCATCTGCAGTGTATGGTTCTGATTTCAGTGGTGAATGAGTTATTGCTCAATCTCATCTGTTGCAACCTTTGGCTTGCAGAAAGAACGCTTCAGCTCAGAAGTCTGTCTGCTTAGCAAAGAAAGTTGTCTTGGTTTGTGAGTGAGTGCAGGGGCGTTAAATAGCTTTTGGTGGGACTCAGTGGTGCCAAGAGAATAAGGCTTTAGTGCCACCTTATTTTAAATATGGTTTTCAAACATAATGAGACAATTGTATGTCAGTTCATGCACGGCTTGTACATAATGACAAACCACAACTTACAGAGCTGTTGATGTTCTGGAAGGATGCAGGCTTCTGTGTGTCAGCACAATTTCTAAATAATAAAATTCTTAACACTGAAAATTTTCCCTTAATTTTTTTTTTTTTTGAGGGAAGTATGGCAGTGAGGGTAAAGGTTACACAGGGTTGTAAAGAGGTTTCCTGAAAACTTTATGCCTCCTAGTTACCTATCCCACGCTTCTGCTCATCTCTCCATCCCACCTGTGAAGAAGGGAAAGGGCTGAGAGAGAGGTAAGCCATAACTTATGTGATGTGAGAAATATCCTACCTGTTTGAGGCCACTGGCATGAATATGTAAGAGTCTGTAGATTTTGTAAGCTACTTCCATTAGTTACATTAAAATGGGAAGAGTCTGTACAAATGCTGCAGCCAAAGTGGGCTACAGACACAAAATAGAGCATAGTTATCTCAGTTCACTGCTAACAGATGAATCAAAGTGTTGCTTCCACATGGTGTGGGTATTGTAGACCCCGGGTGTTCCCAGTGTTGCAGGACAGTGTCATGGTTTAACCCTGGCCATCAACTAAGCACCCCACAGCCACTCAGTCACTGCCCCTCCTCCCCCAGTGGGATGGGGGAGAGAATCAGAAGGGTAAAAGTAAGAAAACTCATGGGTTGAGATAAAAAGTTTAGCAGTTTAAAAAAAAATAATTAATAAATTGTAAGGAAAAGGTGGGGCGGGGGATAAATAACAGAGAAAAATAAAACCTAAGGAAGACAAGCGATGCAAGTGAAAACAATTACTCAACACCAACTGACCCATGCCGAGCCAGTCCCCGAGCAGCGGCCCCCCTGCCAACCTCCCCCCTAGTTTTATTGCTGAGCATGATGTCGTATGGCATGGAATATCCCTTGGGTCAGTTGGGGTCAGCTGTCCCAGCTGTGCCCCCTCCCAGCTTCTTATGCCCCCCCAGCCTCCTCGCTGCTGGGGTGGGGTGAGAACCAGAAAAGTCCTTGGCTCTGTGTAAGCACTGCTCAGCAGTAAGGAAAATATCCCTGAGTTATCAACACTGTTTCCAGCACAAATCCAGAACACAGCCCCATACCAGCTACTATAAAGAAAATTAACTCTATCCCAGCCAAAACCAGCACAGACATCCAATGCAAATGTAAATACATTTCACTTTGTAGATCAATTTTAAAGCAGTATGAATTGTAGTTCAACATCCTCACTGAGGTTCCTGTACCTGAAGGTTCTGGCATCAGCTGATGTAGTCCTAGTTTGTACCACTCATCTGTTTCTGAACCCTCTGAATCAGAACTGTTGGGACAGAAGTTGTTTGCATAGTTCACATTTTAATGAAAGCAGAAAAAGGTTTACATAGGAATTATCTTTTGGGCAGTCTCATTATTGCTGAATTTTCTTAATTCCTGGTTTTGTATGGAATATATGGGTGAGATTCATTGTGAAGTTCCATCTTTACAACGGTTTAGCTAATTAGACGCGAGTAAAATGTTGCTGCTGCCACTTTTTGCAGACCTCCTATCCCATACTGAGAGGTAAAATTGAGTTATATTAGCTATTGTGAAAAGTTGGTGTCCACTTTGCTTGTTTAAAACAACAGACACTTTCAAAATGTCAATGTAGTTTCCTACAGGTACGTCGGATGATTTGACATTATGGCAGTTCTTGGGACGTGGCTTTCTCTGGTCCTGCTTCAAACTCCAAGTGACAGTGGTTTTGTGTGATGCATTCTGGACTTCTTAGCTGTGTTATTTTCAAGTCTTCTGAATTAATGCTATGTGTATCAATATAGATACATGTGGTTGTTCTAAAGTAAAATGTGCACACATGCAGGCGAACTCCCAGGCTGGCAGCTCCTTGAAATATTCCATAAGCCAGAGACTTGCAGAGGCTCTGCTGCTGTGTTCAGGCATGAGTGACTAGTGGGCAGAAGTTCATTGTCACAAACGAGACTTGAATTTCCCAAGTGAGGTGCTGTGTCCTCCAGGTGACTTAGAGGCACTTAAAAGCCATGGAGTTAGTAACAGAGGCAGTCTGTTGCTGACATCCAAACTTTTCTGTTGTTTGCTGGTTTTGCTTAAGCTGTATGGATGGTGTAACTTTTACCTTGGTTAACTTCTAATGCGTTGCATTCCCAAAGATGAGGATAATACCAGAGTAAATAACATATGTTAGTAATGGGTCAAAGTTACGGCTTAGTTCAGGGCAGGGGGGGAGAAGTAAGACTACTAGTAGCTGGTGTTGCATCATTTTAGACGAGTGTTTTTTCTTGTAACTCCTTGTTAAACCTGCATGACTGCTAATGCAACTTTGGACACTCCTGAGGCACAGCAGTTTTTAGTACAGAGTAATCACACACCTTTAAAAATTGAGTACTAAGCAATTAGCTGTCTCAGTCTTAAAGGTGCTGCTCCAGCATATCACTCAAGGGCATGCACATGATTCTTCTTTAATTGTTTGCATGTCTGCCTGTGTATGTTCAGGAAGAGTCTTTTTTTATACTTGTGACTTTTCTGTCACAAGACCTGGAGTTAAAGGATTTACTTGGGGGGGGGGGATAAACAAAAGTAGTCATGTGGACAAATGAGTGTGTGAATGTAATGTGAAAAATGTGGTGGGATAAAATGGTTGGAAAAATATTGTGTTCAAAAATTATTTGCTAATACTATAAAAAAATTGTTCTTGTTTCAGTATGTTAGCTGAAAAAAAAATCAGTACCCTGACAGTTGCGTTCTAAATAGATATACTTGGCAGGAATTGATAATTTTTTAGAGAAAAATAATATAATTATTACTCTTGAAGTCTCATTTTGTTTAACAATTTAGTGGTAAAATTGATTTTTATGTATATGGAACCATAATATTAAAGTTTGCATCTAATGGGGTGAATCTTCCACATGGCAAATGGTCAGTCTGCCTAAAGGCTGAAGTAAGAGAGAGTGACTTCCAGATTTTTATGTTATGAGGCTTTGGGGAAATAAATGGAAGTGACTGTGGTTGTTCGAAACTGGTCTGGCTTGTAGTTGCCTATTAGGAAACATAATGCCAATACGAATAGCTGGGGGTTTTTGCAGCCATTAATATTGGGGCACAAAGTTGACAAGCCTTTTGAAATACTGATGATAGTTTTGGAGAATGTATTGAAAGGTTTTAATGACCTAAAAATGTAGCTGAATTCAAAATCTTGGGGAGTTTGGTTTTGTTGGGGTTTTTTGGGTTTTTTGTTTGTTTGTTTTTTGTGGATCAGGCTTATAAAAATAGTTCTAAAACTTTCAGCATTCAGCAGCTGTTAAATGCCTCATTAATTCAGATACTAACTTCAAAATGCGAAAATTAAACTTTGAAGAAAACGTTGTGGCTCTGTGTTTATGACTTCTGAAAGTGCTTGGTGGAAAAACATGAAGACTTGATATTCAGATTTCTTCTTTGTACCATTATTGACTTGACAGAGTCAGAGCTGACACTCTGTAGAGGAGTTTCAGTACTTAGGGGATTGTTCCCCAGTGGACGGAAGATGATCAACTTGTACAGTAGTCTTTTCTGCTTGGGTTTGTTCCTCCCTTCTCTCTCTCTCCCCCTGCCCCAGTTCTTTCATGAGAGAACATGGGAAGAGCGTGTTATGCACCTAAATAGGTAACTGCTGCTACCAGCACATACAGGAGGCAGCAAATGAACTTGATACACAGGAGGTGTTATAAGAAGCCCCAGGTGGAGGGGGAGAAATTCACGCAAAGCAGCTTGCAGTGGGCAAAGGTGCTGAGGATAAGTCTAGAAGATGTAGTGGTATCTTGAGGAACGGCTTAGAAAGGAGGACAGAGACGAGGAAAGAAGAGGGCTGCGGGCAGCCTGGAGAGACCTCTGAACCCCCGGTGGTGTGGGAAAAGCTGTTGGGGGCAACTTCCAAGGGATGTATGTTGGGAGAGGAGGAAATGTAGAGCAAAAATTTTTGGTGGGGTCTTTGTGGAAATGGAGATTCATAGTGAGGGTGATGAGGGATGATCAGGTCCTCAGGGGCAGAAGGGTGGGGCTGGAAGGTAAGAACCAGGCATGGTAAGAAATAAGAGGGCCACAGTCCAGGTGGCCATGAAGCTACGGTTTTTCCTACGGAAGTTTCAGGACCAAACGAAGAAAGTGTTGGTCTGTAACGTTTTTCTCTTAGGTGATTTTTAAGACTTGAGTTTTACCTCTTCTGCTAATTTTAGAAAGCTATCTTTAAAAAAATTTAAATTTTCATCCATCTCCAGACCTATGCATTTCAGTTTATTTTCTCTATTCTTTGGTTTTGTTACTTTTACATTTTTTCTCTTCCCAATATTAGATTCAATCTCTTCAGTACTAGTTGTTTATGTTGCAGTAGTACCAAAAAAGCCTTCTTTGAAAAGCAAGATAACTCTTCTCAGGAAAGTTTCTTATACTGATTCTGAAAATATTATTTCTGGGTATTACTTTGTCAATCAGTATTAAAATACTCAAGACCCACATATCCCAAAAAAACCACTATGCACCCTTATGGTTTAAAATCAAAGAAAGGGACTGAAGGGGCCTTACTCACACTTCTAAAGCAGCTTGTATTATGAAAATCTCTCTGTAGGAGTCTATTTACTGGGAAAATATGGGCAGAAGAAAATCAGAGAAATCCAAGAACGAGAAGCAGCTGAATACATTGCCCAAGCGCGAAGGCAATATCATTTTGAAAGTAATCAGAGGACGTGCAATATGACAGGTAAGATAAGGAAATAGCTACTGTTCTTGATAGGTGGAATTATTTGGGGATTTATACTACATATTGACAGGATGGAAGACAAATAAGAAATATGGGTGAATTCAAAATCTTAATGAAATACTAATGCATAAATAGAGTAATTTTGCATAGTAAAAACAGAATCTGAAGAACAGAGGTTTGAAGGCATTTCTAGGTGTCATCTGAACCCTTATCCATTTATATGCATACAAATATACATGCAGGTTACAATTTTTTGTCACTTCAAGACCCTTTGTGTATTGCCCTAAACTGCATGTCGTATTGAGGTGTGAAACAGCACCCAGATTCAAACACTACTGAATTTACAGCAGGATTATTTTATTTGTTATAGCACATTGTTAGTAAGCTACACAGAGAGCTTGGTGGGTAATTTTTATTTACAAATAAGAAGCATGTCAGCCCATTAGTTCCCTACATTTTAACAGTTAAAAGGTGCCTGACTAGCTGGGAGCAAAAAGTGACAGTATTTATATTATAGCACTGGTGTTTGGATTTTTGGAGAGGAGATGGTGGAGTAGAGTTTAACAAAATCCTTGTCATTCTTGTAAATACAGGCCATTCAAAACTACTTCTACAAAACAAATTAGGCAGCATTTTCTTTTCCTGTTGAAATTTGTAATGGCTTCTCGGGTGGCTGCAAATGCTTTCTGTGCACCTTGTTTACCCTGACCAACTGGTGTTTCATTTTAATCTTTTCCATTTTGTAGTGCTGGGATTGATTTTACTGCAAGGACTAAGTTTGTCTTTGCCCTTCTTTGTATGAAGTACCTTCTGTCTGGCAGCATGCATTCTTGTCAAGATTTTTCATACTTTGTTCTTAGTATTTATTATGTTCTGAGCATGCTTTTTTTCCATTTCGTGTTCCCATCACATAACCGCAGATCTGACATTGAATATTCTGAAAGTAAAGTATTTTTTTTCACCACCAGCTTTCTTTTGTTTGAAACGTGCCTTTCTCTGGTTCTCTTGTTGGATAAAACCAAACCTCAGATCGTTTTCTTCTCATTTGGAGAAATGCACAGTGTAGATTTTCACCAGGTTTTCTTCTGGGGAATTGAAGGCATGTATATGCAGATAATGCAGGATGTGATCTGCAGCTAGAGCCAACAAAGACATATAGCCACATAAGGGCAGCATTGTGCCCAAGCTGGTAACAGATAAGCAAGTAATTGCACTTCTCTGAGTACTCCCAGGGTTTCCTATTTTGCTTGTTCTCCCAGCTTTGCCTGTTGAGCAATTGGATTTACATTGTATAGCAGCTACTGAGCGAGAACTGGGGATAGGTTTATGATGATTTTTTTTATGTTGACAGGGTTTTTTCCTTTTTTTTTTTCTTTTAATAACAGTGCTGTCAATGCTCCCAACATTGAGGGATGCCTTAATGCATCAGTTAAATTCTGAGAGTCTCACGTCTCTTCTTAAAAATAGGTAAGACTGTTTTGTTAATTGTGTTAAAGATCACTTGTTTTGGTCATAAGATAAGTTTTTTTTTCAAATTATATATTTATAATGTAGAGAGTATGCAGGATTTTGTTTCTGTGTCCCATTGAGTCGCTGGTCTTAAAGTATTTTGAAATCACTATGTAAATATTTTGTGTCATGTTAGATGTATTTTGATAGGTATGGCTGGCATTTTCCAAACATTACAAGAAATAATACTTCCTTTAAGATGTTTCAGTGAGAGCCATGGTTTTTGTTGAAGTGCTTACAAGATGGGCAGGTAAAAGTACTTAGAGGATCTAGTCCTCTCTTAAACAGGACAGAGTATTTTGACTGAGTTGTCGATGTTGTGTTTGTAAAAATGTTTATGTAATCTTATAAAGGTCAGATGTGAATAGTAGTAGAAAGTATCCAAGATGAGATTGCAAATGGATGTAAGCTGTGAGAAGTGTGTGTTTGTTGTTTGGTTGTTTTTTTTTCTTTTTTGAAGTAGAGCAAATAGGGGCATGTCATACATTAAGAGGAATGCTTCCCTGTCAGAAAACACCTTCGGTTCCATTATAACTGCAGGAACAAATAGCGTATTTTCAAATACATAAAGTGTATAACAGCATGCCTTAAAAGTAGAGTAAGCTGCTTGGCATTTTGCACGGAGTAAAAGTGTTATGTAGGCAGTTAACACAGCGTTTCTGACTCACTCTAGACTGCCTTTCTAGTTTACCTCCCACTAGCTTATTTATGTAGCTGTAACTTCAGCTGTCCAGCATTTAATAGATTACCTATCCAGTCATTGTCTTTTCTCAGTCAAAAAACTCCCACAACAAGGCAACAGAATGTGATATTTAAAGTGAGAATTACCACCTGAACTATGTTTTTGTAATAGATTATCTGAGAATTTCCAATTGTAATTTAATATTATTTACACCAAACCACAAGAAATTAGGAAAAGTTAATTTTAATGGAATGCTTAATATATTTTTCAGTTTTTACTCAATGAAAAATTAATCTGAGTGAACAAGAGATCTTGTGGATCACCAGATTTGTCTTCTGGACTGTGCAGCAAAATAGTCTACAAAGGCCTGTAATCCTTTGTTCAATGGTGAAGACATGTAATGCCTTAGTTTGTTCTCTGTAGCGTGCATTCTTTTATCAAAATACATCTGGTGTCTCTAACTTGTGCGACTAGTTGAAACAGTTTACGGGTACAGTAACACACTTCTGAATTCCAGTAATGCCAGTGAAAATAGAGATGAGACTTTTTGATATTATTGTTAGGCACTTCTGAAAACAAGTGTTTTTTAAAAGGCTGGTTACATGCAATATCCTGTAAGCACGGATGTCCATTTAGAGTGTATCTTACAGTGGAGTTTGTGTCTTAATGTTTCCTTTTTTGACTTATGCTGAGCAAGTTTTAACTAAATGCTTGAAATTTTTTAACTGAAAAGACAGAGGAGGGGTTGGGAAGGCACAGATCATAGAATCAGCCATCAGAGCTCATTCCACGTTGAAGTGATTCTTTAAAGAAGCTCTGCATTCTTGTGGTACACATGGAGGTATAGATTTGTTTTCTTTCTACTTAAATTTGAGAAGATGAATCAAACGGCTCTGGACCTTTGAGTGCTGTTGTTGAATATACAAAAGAGTACATGTGGAGATTTACCTTTCTTAATGTCCCTGAAGATGTGTTCTTTTTCTCACATAATCTATGTTATGGCTTAACATGTTATGGATCTATGTTGTCATATGTTACAGATCATGTTATGGCTTAGGTAAGCTCCTTTAACTTAAATTTAAGGGAGTGAATGGATTTTAAAACCTTTTTATGTTGTTTTAGTAATTTGGGGTGGCCAGTGGTAGGTTGGGGGTGTAAGCAGGCTGAAGTCTTCAGTCTTTCAGAGAAACTTTTAAAGAGGGAGTGGCACACAAGGCCACAGATGTTCTTGCTCCATCTGTCCTCCTCTTTTCAAAGAAATGTGATTGAATGAGATGAGGTGAAGTACCTACTGCTGTAGCCTTGCAGATGTTGCGTATCTCCCACCTATTCAGCACTTAGCTTTATTCCAAACCTCTGCTTGTTTGCATTGCTTTTTGCTTCCATAGCAGGTAATAGTTTTCCAAATAGATGTGAAATAAAAGATGAGTTTTGAGTAGCAGCTGAGTCTTAGTAAATTGCAGCAGATGAAGACTGAAAAATCCATTTCCACTGTTAGGCTTAATACTTGCAGACTTAAACTGTTACCTGGCTGTTGCCTTAAGTTGTGAGGAGAAACTTTGTAAGCATGAGCTCTAGGAAATGTTTCGACATAATAGGTGCAAGTGTAGTTGGCTGAAGTCGATGTATTGGCTTCCCTTTCTCTCTTCAGTTGGCATGGAAAACCTAGCACTTATAAGTAACAAATGTGGTTTTGAGTCCTGTTAATGTGTTTTATCTATAGAAATATTGCTGTATTTTTTAACAGTCTTTCCTTTGTTTTGCTTTAGAATAGCTTTTAAAACTGTTGACTTAGCTTGCAAAAAAAGTATGTAAACTGATTTTTGTGTGTGCCATGGGTCCTTGTATCTCTTCTAGCTATCCTTTCTTTGATCTGTCTCTTTACTTTTTGGAGTTGTAGACTTAATAGTTTATTATATCAGTTCATTTACATTATTTGAATGCACTGAGCTTAAAAATTGTTTATGTGAGTGATATAATGGTCAAACTAATGCCAAAGTGCACGTGTTGTGCCTGTAAAGAGAAATTATTTCTGGTGAAATATTTTTTATAAACTAGGCTACTGTAAAGTTGATCTGAACTATCTGCCTGAAATATTTAAGTGTTAATTCTGATCCTAAGAAATTACCAAATGTTTCTCTAAGTGACTTTCACAATATATTTCTTCCATGACAGAGATAGAGTGGCCGTTCTTTACTGACAGTGCTTAACAGGCAAGAATGGCTGATGAAACTTTTTGGATGGTTAGCTTGCTCTTATCTCTGCTACTGCTGCTATACTGCTAGCATTACCTCTAGATAGTAGTTATAAATATGCAACATGGCTTAGGCAGTTCAGTTGTATCTATGCAATCTACATACAGTCTTGTTCTTTTGACTGCAGAATATATAAAATCTTAGGAATTGGTCAGGTCAAAAAAGTCAACGTACCTCAACAAAAGAAGTAAGATCAACTTGTATTTGTGTGGATGGTGCAAGACTTCTTTTCCACAGATGGTTGGGATCTCTTTGTTTTTTGGTGATTAAATCTCAACTTTAAAACCAGGTCAGGCAATGGTAAATCTTGCACGAAAGTAGGGTATAGAAATTCTGGTCCTGCACTTATTATGCGCACGTGGATACAGGAAGCCCTACTGAACTGAGGTCTGCTTTAAATACATACAGGATCAAGGCCCCAGAAAAGACTACTTTGTATCATCAGTGGGCTTTTTCTGGCTGCTTAGCATAGGAACTCAAAATTATTAATATAAGTCTATAATTGACATCATTAAATACTACACTTATACATTAAAGTTTGAATATCTTTTCTGTGACTTCAAAGCATATTGTTTATACACTGCTTTCCTGAATGAGGCAAACTTATGTAGACATGAATCTGATCTGAATAATTATAGAAGTTAAATAGGCTCACCTTAGAGTACTATTTCACTTAACGTATTTATTGATTTCCAAGGAAAATATACTTTTTAATGTTTAATATTTCCATTTATGTTTCCTACAGGCCAGCAAACAAGTTAGAAATATGGGAGGATTTAAAGATAATAAGTAAGTGGAAATGAAAGATTCCATCTACATACTATTTGGCATAAATTTAAAATGTCTTTCACACCCTTTAAAATGCACACTTGATACTGGGTTGTTGTCTGAGTAGGTATGAAGATAGTGTGACACGCTATATGGCAAACTTCCCGTCCCCACTCCCAAAAGCTCCTCATGAAGGAATTTTTCATAGTCCCCACAGAAGTCAGAAGCTCAGAGACAAATGTGAAGAATTTTATTGGCCTTCATGTTACCATGCTCAAGAAAACTTTGTGAGAACTTTCTGTGCCATCACAGAAAAATCAAACTAGTTTTCCAGAAAGTTCTATGCTGAACCTAACAGAAAACATCAATCAGAAATGTAGGCCAGCCCTTACATGGCCCGCAATTTCCTCTTTTCAAGCCTGTTGGGGAGAACCACCATACCAATGGCTATGAACCCTTTGGTTCATGTTCTTATTTATTGGCTGATGGAAGCAGTGGAAGGGAAGGAAGAATAGTGAAGCCAGATAATTATGTACTGAATACTACTGAGCTTTTTTTACTACTTTTGATTCTTTGGTACTATTTGTTATCCCTCCACCTCCCTGGTTTTGTCTTCCCTTCCTTTTGGTTTTGCTTCTCCTTTTCACACCAACTTTACAGATCCTACTTCTGATCCGGCTCCTTTCTTCCCGTGTCCTTGCTACTCCACATTCATCCATATTTATTCATGTCACTTCTTCCACACGTCCTGTGTTGCCTAGTGGCTGGTAGCTGATGCTTATTTTCATGTTCGTTCTTTAGATAGTAGCTGCTCCTGCTTCAGGTAACTTTTTTCCCCAAGCTGCTGTTACGCCTTCTGTGTCTTAATTGCATGATGAGGGCTAACATACTATGTGTATTTCCTGGCCTAATGAAGAAAGACGATTTGACAGTACATCTGTTTTCCTTCTGGAGCAACTTTTATGATTTTTATTTTTTCCCAAAATAACTTGTGTAACGTGCAAAATGATATTAATATTGGACTTTAAATGGGACACTTCAGATGTAGCTCCAGCACATATTAGACTCATGACCATCTTGGGTATATGTTGTGAAAAAATGTGTTATGACAACCAATGAGAGAAATGTGACTGTGTATTTAAAAATCATCAGCACTTCTTGAGTCTTGGAGAGCACTCTCCCTCCTTGGCTCACCCTTATTTCTTTGACTTTGAAGTTATTTTGTTGTCTCTTTTCAAGGTTTCACAAGAAGCATTGTAGCTGTATATAGTACCTGTATGCTAGTAGTTCTTTTGCGAGTCCAGTTAAATATTATTGGCGGTTACATCTACCTAGATAATGCTGCACTCTGCAAAAACGGCACAGTAAGTTTCTTGTTTTGTTTCAAAGGTAGAACTTCCACATTCTTGGAAGTGAAAGAATTATTTTGTGAGAGATAAAAAGAGCATAGCTTAGGAGTATTAGAACAAAACCAAGAGCTCTTAGAAGAGTGGAGATGTGGAAGCATTACTCAAAGTAAAATATATTGATGTGTTTTAATAGCCGCTAAATTTGGATGATGTGGTGATACTGTTGCTTAACAAAATACGAGCAGTATTGAAGAATACCCTTTATCTACATTTGTACTGCTTAAAGGTTACTTCATATCTAAACACCAACATAAAATAATTTCTTTAATTTTTTTGTGAAACAGTAATACTGTGTGAATAATCCAGGATATGTATGCAAATGTATAAAAACGCTTAGGTCTTTCTAGCACATACATTAATTGCCCCAGTTAAATTTTCCTAGGATTAAAGAAGAAAAATGTTGTCTTTGAAATTTTGACTATTTGGTTGTAACTCCAAAAGGTCATCTACCTTAAATGTCTGTTGGTGGAGCCAAGTAAGGCAGAAGACTTGGTTTTTGTTTATATAGTGTATCTATCACTGCTCAATAAAAATATCAATCCCACAGTAAGCAAGTACCCATTGTACAGAGTAAGATCTGCAAATTGTTGGATGGCTCATCTAAAAATAATGGATATAAACTTTGATTAGTTGTCATATGCCCCCCCATGATAGCTCCTGCTGAGAGTTAAGGAACAGCATGTCACAGCAGGTCTAAGGAAAGCTTTCACTAGGGAGGCCAGGGTTGATGTGGAGGTTGTGCTTCATTTTGTGAAACCTGAAAAAGCTTTTTTAAAAGGGCAAGATAAGTTTGGGCTAGAAATGTGTTTCCTTTCTGTTATTTTTCCAATAGAGAAGTGGGTTGACAGGGCCAACTCTGAGGCACTCTGCTGGAGCAAACTGGCATCCTGTCTCAGTTCCTGAAAGCTGCTTTTCTACCAGATGGCCTTTTGTTAGGGCTGAGCATAAATATCCTATTCCACTAGGTTTTATTTTGGGGGTGGTGTAGGGTCTAGTTTCACCTGCAATGCAGGGGTTTTTTTTAAAAGAATTTCCTATATATGAATGAAAAGTGAAAGATTTATGTGTGCCACTGAAGATAGAAGAGAGATCTGTATAGTATTGAAGAGTGCCAGAGGACTTATGAAATATCCATGGGTTGATGGCAGGAAGACGGTCAGAAGCTACAGAGTTGGGTCAGAATGGGGGAATCCATCTGCTGCAGGGTCTTACAAAAATTAAGGAAATTGGTCGCAACAGGTTTGAAATTATTTTTGCATTGTTCTCTACTGTTGACACGTCACAGAACTATTTATTATTTTTTCCCCACAGACACCACTAGCTCCCCCTGAAGTTCAGCAGCAATATTTATCAAGTATTCAGCACCTTTTAGGAGATGGTATGATGCTTATTATAAGCTAACTAAACTTACAAAATGCTGCTTTTTTTCTAGACTTGAGCAAATCATTACAATAATTTTGACACTCTTCTTGTTCTAGGACTGACTGAGTTAATAACTATTGTTAAACAAGCTGTGCATAAAGTTTTTGGAAGGTAAGAGTCTCTACTTCTTTGTGGTTAGCTTTTAATCTTTATTGTGATGACTGCTCCCAAAACAATGAGTTTTACTAGAATTAAAAAAAAAAGGAAGGTGTACTGACTTTTTCCAAAACAATTTTTTTATTATAGCAGGCTATATCTGCCAGTGCAAACTCATATAGCAGACTGGGATCCTGTTACTTGTGAACATGTTACCGGGAGGAGAACAAAGCATCATTATTCATTTTGCAACCAACACTGTAGTCTCTCTTCCTTTCCAGTATTTCCCTTAAGCACACCCTATCTCTTCTGGAGCTGGAGCAGAAAGTTAAAGATATCAGGGAAGTAGTGGAACATAAAGATTCAGATCAGATTGCATCTCACTCTCCCTTATGTCATTATCTGATGCCAGATGAAGAAAATCCCCTGGCCACCCAGGTACTTGTTTCAGTTTCTTTCATCTATCTTTTTTCATTCTGTGTTTTTTTTGGTTTGGGGAGAGAAGGGTATGTAACAGTCCTCTAGCTATACCATGGCATCTGTATCTTTTATTAAAAGGCAAGGCCCCTTCTGTCATACATCAAGTGTCCTTATACCTTTAATCAAGGCAAAGTAAAGTTGTACTTTCTTCAGATTTGATTGAAAACAAGTGCCATCCTCAGAATGTCAGCTCTGAGCTCAGGAACACAGCCCAGTTACTGCTTTTAGCCTGTGACGTGTGCTGTAACACAATGCAGCTTAACTCAGCCCTAAGCTAAATTGTATTACCTTGCACTTGTGTACCAGCAAAGATCATGGACAGCTGTAGCATCTTGGCTGATGCACAGGAAGGTGATGGTGTGCTGGGAGTCCTTTGTCGCTTTGGGCTGGAAAATGAACAGGAGTCAAGGGAAAGGTGTATCTAATCTCAGTTGTAACATTAATTTCCTAAATTTTCTAAAGGCGTTTGTCTCCATCCACACCACAGGTTGGAGAAAACGCATGCTTAACTTGGTATCACAGTAGTGTAAAGAAGAAACTTAGGCTTCATTGTGTGACTGCATGCACTTATCCCTTTAACTTAAGCTGATAGGCAGGGTTTATTTCAGTTTCGGAGGTCAGAAGTGGAAAAAATACTTTGTTCAATTAGTCTGGTATTTCCTGCTAATACTGTTTTTAGTAAAAAAAAAAATCCTACAGTGACCATTTAAAAGGGAAATTAGAACACAAATTATAAAGAATCTGATTTACGACAGTAAATCTTTTCTTTTAAATAGATTTGCCTTACACATCTTGACTTTAATTCCATGGTACAAAACTCTTCCATTTCTGTTGTTACGGTTGCCAATAGATTTCTTACTAAATAGTGTCTGTCTTTGCTTTTTCTAGGCCTGTGGACTGACAGAAAGAGACATTGCTACAATTAAATTACTTAATGAAACTAGAGATATGCTAGAAAGGTATAGAGAAATATTCTGTATTCCTATTAAACTCTTCCTCAGAACTACTGTTTGTGTAAGACCATTTCTTTAATATAAAAAGCTGTCAACTTTCATTTGCAAAATGTGGCCACTCTGTTGCATTAAACTTTTATATTCACTAATTGTAGGCTGGGATTTCCAAAATCTGAGCGCTCTGAAACTTATAAGAAACAATCCTGCCTTAATGAGATGACGAGGATGTCCTTCCCAGTCACACCCCCTTATCTCTTCCTCACTTTTCTGTAGTTATGCAGGAACAGAAGAGTACTTCTCTTCTGCTAAAGCAGGGTAAATTGAGAGTCATTTTATTGGATTTACTTCCTTTGATAAAACGAACACCAGTTCTGGCTCATCAGAATGTATTTCTAATGCATGGTTTTGAGAGCGGTTGTATGCATCCTTTTACCAGAAAGCTACCAAAGTGAGGCATCTATAATAAACATTGAATATGAGGGAATTGAGCCAAATGCCAAACTATTCTTGCAATTTAGCTGCTAGAGATCTGGGGCATTTTAAGGATGAGGTAAGTCCCTTCTGTGTTATTAATAAGAAAGAGAAGTGAGGAATCCTTTAGATTTATCTGGGTGTTAGTAATCTTAGGGTAGCGTTTAGGTGGTTGTTTGGTTTGCTGTGGAGTTATTTGGGAGCTGGTCTTTCTTGAGGTGGCTATACTAATGGCCTTTTATCTGGGTCATACATCTTCCCTTGTGGGAGGGACATCTGTAACACTGAATACTTGCAGGGTTTTTTAGTTTGGAAAAGTAAATCCCAGGAATGAAACTTTTTTTCTCCCCCCTTCCAGTCCAGACTTCAGTACAGTTTTGAGCACATGTTTAAATAGAGGATTCAGTCGACTACTGGACAATATGGCAGAGTTTTTTAGACCTACTGAAAAGGACCTCTCTCAGAATGGCTCTGTAAATAGGTAAATGTTTTCTTTTGTTCTGGTTCTCATGTGAATAATGCTTTGGGATCGTAGTGAATTCCAAAAAAGGCTATTGATTTTCCTGCCTACTTGAAGTTCTCATGCTGGAAAGAATTCTGCTTCTTGCTCTTCAAGAATAACTGCAATCTCCTCACTTGTATTGCACGTTTCTTCCCACCCATGAAATAGCTAGAATTTACATGAGGTGTCTTTCCTACCATTACTTGCAGATCTAAAAGTAGCAATCAGAAGACCTACACCACCTACTTTTTGCCTGAACACTGTACAAGCAGACTGCCTTTCTGGCTAAGGAGGATTTACCCCACTGGTGGTGACTACTGAAAGATGTATTACAGTACCTCCCCTATGAGGCCGTGAGAAAGATAGCGTTTCCCTACAGTCAGCAGATAAGCTCTGTACGCCCCAGTCTCTAACTGTCAGTTACTGTAGTTCTCAAGGCAGGCAGGCATTACCATGATTCTCCAAATACATGTAGCCAAAGCACCTTATGGAGCTTTAGGTTCTTTGCTGCTATGCTGAAAAAAGATCCTAACATTCAGGATCTTCTACCTCTTCCTAGAAAGCTGTTTAAAAATAGCTTTTATTCTGAAGTTAACTTTGGTTTTAAACAGGGCAGTGAGAGTGTTACAAATCCAAAAGTGGTGTTCAAATCCTTGAAATGTGATTTCTAAAATACTAAAAATTAAAACCTCAAACATCCAAAAACCCAGTTATTATTCATTTTAGTAACTGATGGCACTCAGAGTAATGTTTTTATTTAAATATACACTATTTACATACTTAAAATGTCCCAAAGGCTGTAGTTTGGCTGTCTGTCCTAAGCCAGGTTTAGAGTTTGAAATAGTGCTAAGAACTGTTTACATACACACACACATGTAAAGACTCTGCCTAAACCATATTTCTCTTGCATGAGAAGCAAGTGTGAAACTGTGTGTAATAGGAACACCAACTGAATTTGCTTTGGTACTTCTCTATATTAAATGAAAAGCTTGATGGGGGCGGGGGGGGGAACCAACTTCATCTGTACATTTTAGTTTGCAGTCTTTCAACGCTTACTTCTGAAGTAGTAATTTTCAGAACTGTAATACTCACAGTTTAGTGGCTTTACTAATGTCAGACAGGTCTAGGTCAATATTTTTGTTCTTTTCTAGTCTTTCCAGTGTCAGTCTTCCTTTAGCCAAGATAATTCCAATAATAAATGGACAGATCCATTCAGTATGCAGTGAAACACCCAGTCACTTTGTTCAGGTAAGAATCTTGCTTATTTAAAATATCCCAAGTAAAATTTTGAAATTAATCTTGTATATTTCTTCTTAATAACATACTTCATTCTGTTTAATTTTAGTGGCTTTTAAAAAAAAGTAGAAACAATTGGCATAACTTAAACTTTTTCTACATTTGTATCTTCCAAAAATATGCTCTTTTTCTAGAAACTCTTCCCTCTGCTAAACTGTGCAGAAGCACAAAATATCTCTTAACTTGGTTCTGCTTGCAATTCTGCTCCTAAACTTTTCTAAAGCAAGAAATTTGAGTTACATCTCTGTGGGAGTGTCACGTGCTTTTCTCATGATGAATTACATACTGCAGCAAAACCAGAATAGTGGTGGATGTGTTTGATTAAGCACATTTATTCTTTAAATTTCTTCCAGGACCTGTTGATGATGGAACAAGTGAAAGATTTTGCTGCTAATGTTTATGAAGCTTTTAGTACCCCTCAGCAACTAGAGAAATGAACTGCACATTTATAGGAATAGATCCTGTATTTATAACAAATCCCTTGTGACTACTGATGAGACTTGGGTTAATTTTATAATGGTGTAGGAGTGGTAGACCAGCAGAAAGAACATCCTGAAAAAAGTGGGAGTGAGCCCATATTTGTTCTAATAGAATTCTGTTTCAAACACCCATTAAAAATATTCTTGTTGAAAGAATCATTGTATGTAAAGACTTTTCTATTAAAGTGGTTAAACTCTTCCATAATTAATTTGATTATTTTTATTGCATCTGAAAGGCATCTGGTGGCAGTATTACAACAAGTTACTAAAAAAAAAATCATTTGTTTGCTTGGGCTGTGTAAATTTTGGAAAAAAACTAATGATGGTGATCTAAGAATAGCAGAGAGTAGCAGAATGAAGCAAGGCTTCTTTCTTCTTCTCCCAAATTTTTCTTTTTATAAAGGAAAACTTTTTTTCCTTAACTTTACAAATGTGATTCCAAAGAGTTTCTCGTTCTTCAGAAAGCCTTTGCCAACTGATGCACGTTCCTCTTGAACAAGCTGGGGGGTGTGGTGTGTGCTTTCTGTTACTTAATATTAAAGGAATGTGGATTTTTAGAAGTTCTCTTGTTTATGCTGTTCAAACAGCTACACTGTACACATTAACTTGTAAATATTTTATCTTAATTTGTATTAATTTTGAGCCCAATGGTCTGTATTGTAATAAAATATTTTAATGTAAAATTTGTGTGTATTAACATTACTAGTAGGGAAGACAAGAATAACTTCATTTGGCCCATTACTTAACATCTTGACATAGTTGAAAGAATAAATTTAAACTTGTACAGTAATAGTTTTGCACTTATTAACATTACTCAGGAAAAATAAACCCTTGCTCTCTACACTGAAACACTTCATGCTTTTTGTTGTCCTATACCTCCCCGTCTTTGCAAACTGCACAGTGCAGATCTGTCCATACAGATCCTAACACATGATGAGTTTGGGTATTTTTCAAGTTGGGTGCAGTCTATCCTCTGCTTAAAGTGTTGTGTCTCTGCCAAAGCTGAGGATCCCTAGCAACTCCTGTTTATTTCTCTTTTTTAAAAAAAAAGGTTAGTAACTGAAGTATGTTTTGTTTAATAGTTCACGGAAAGCAACCTAGTAACTGTGTAAAAATGGCTGTAAACAAGAATCAGCTTTAAGCATGTAGAATTATACAAAACAGCAAAAAAAAACCCCTTTCCCACTTTACTTGCATCCCAGTAATAGGACTACTCAAGAGTAGGAACATGTAAAATTAATGATTTTCATGATGAGAAATGAAGATGTACATATATGCATTTCCTCCATACATTTGTGAAATATTCCTCACCCTTCTAGATCCAGTACCCTACTCAGCTGAAACTATCAGCTGCCAATTGTTGCACACAACTGGAAGAAATTTATTCTTTTCTCTAAAACTCAGTTTTTACTGTACAGTTTTGTGGAAGTTAGATTTCTTCCATTAAGACATACAACTGACTGACTTACGTGCATTTGAACACTGGCTTGAGCTAGCTTTGTTCTTTCTCATGGCTTTAAAAATCCAGTGCCTGTTTCCCCTGTCCCCACCCCGCCTTCTTCGCGAAACTTGGCAAGAAACTGACTAAAAAAAATAAAAGTAGAGAGCTCAAGGTAGATGCTCAGTTTTTCACACAAGTTCAAAGAAAAAAATTGTATGCAGAGATTCAACTATCTAGTGCTAGATTTCACGTGAGGTTCATTCCATCCTTTAATTACAGCCCACCTTTCATAAAAAGTGAAATTATTGATGTTTCTCAGTCAAGCAAGTACCAGTTAGAAACCAATGATTAGAAACTGGCAAAAGAGCAGCATTACCTACTACCCAAGGCTCCAGCAGTGTATGGCTTAGTTTATGTCAATCAGCTGTAAAGTCCAGCCCCACTGACATGGCAATTGCTTAGGAGTTAACTGAGGTAGAGCTATAACAATTCCCTTTTCTCCTAGGGCAACCCATTTCAGCAGTTCCTTGTAGCCAACCAGCTTCACCTGAGATGGAAACATATACTGTAATTAGAACAGTGTCTTTTCAAAGTGCATATAATTGCAATATTGACAAAGAAATGTTGATCCATAGCTATACTTTACTATCCAATTACCCTCTAAATGCCACTTACCAACCAAATGAATTATAATCATTAAAGGTAATTAATAGAAAAATACTTGCAAAGTAGATAAAGTAAGTAATAAAGTTAGTGATGTTGGGTCTTGAGAAGTACTTGGGGCTTTAAGAGCTACAAAAACACTTCTCAGAAGTATTTGGGATGGGATTTGGGTCAAAGCAGGGATCTGGGTGCCATAGTACGCAGCTTTGTATCGCCTATTTCCCAAATGCCCGTTTCCCATGGTGGAACTTGTGGTCTTGAATGAGCATCACTGTTTCTTACAGAGCGCAGCCAGAGATACCTCAAACAGCTGACCTGAAGAACCCCTCCACTAACAACACACATATAGGTTTCATGGTGAGACTCTTACACCAGCTGGTGAAATGCTGAAAATAGTGGAGCAGCTGAAGACCAGTCTCTACTACTAAGGAGCATTACTGTCTTATACACATATAGTCTAGACGCCTCTCCAAAATTCAAGATGCATCTACATCACTTCTGAAATTACTCTTTCTTCCTTATCACAGAGCTGTCTTGGCACTAAATAGATTGTTTTCATATGGAACTAGGCCAGAGGAGGCAGTCCAGAAACACCCTTAATGCATTTCAGCAGCTAGTGGACAGCCAATGCATGAGACCAGAACAGAGCTAAGCCAAAGTGAATCCCCACCTTGAATGCAGAGTGTTGATACCAAGTCCTGAGCACCAGCTGTTCTCTATAAATCTGCTTCCACTGGGTTACACTACTTGCTAGTGTACATGTGGCATCAGTGTCCTCAATTTCTGACACACTGACACCCATCTAGGGTCGCACTAACTTAATATTTAGCCTCCATAGGCAATGAAAACCTCTGTGTGCTTTCCCTTTGTGCAAGGCTTTGACTTGAAACTACTGCACCATTACAGCAATTAGAGTATCACTGAAGTCATGAGGAAAGCTATTTATAAAGAAAGGTCATGCTGAGTTAGAGTCTACACAGGAAACGGGAGGGGCAGCACAGTTTTTTTCCTTGCTACTTGGCCTCTTTTTATGATCCTTAGTTTGCAAGCTAAAACATATCCCAGCAACAATTCAGTCTAACTTTGTTTGTTGGAGAAGCAGCATCCCACTGGGAGGACTACAACAAGGAGGTCCCAGAACGAAAATGTTTTGCTGGGTCTCTTCCAACATACTCTGTCCTAAGAGCTATGCATTCCCAAAGATGCCAGAAACTAAAACAAACATGATGGAACATGACAAATCCTAGAGGTGTTTTCCTTCAGAGTATGTTAATTTCTTGCACTATATGTTAAAAACCTCACTGTTCTAAAGGGGAAGAGGGCAAGTGGGGGTGTTTGGGGTGTGTTGTCTTTTACCTGTGTTTCTCCAAGCTTAGCCTGTGGCTCACCAAGTTCCAGAGTCCCAGAGACTGGCCAGTTAAGGAAGATAGCATTGACTTGGCCTTCTTTAGGACTGAAAGTGTACCTGGTTGGAAATGGGGAACAGAAATGCATGTCAGTTTTTCCTTGTAAATTTTCTGAAGTGATACACAGAGTGCTTTCAAGACTGGAAAAATGGATTTGAAAAGTTGGCATTAATTACACTTTCACACACATAACCATCTTTTCAGACAATTTATACCCTTTAATAAAGTACTGTTCCTTGAAAATATGTTCCAACAAACTACAGGTAATAGAGACTATTAAAGAACTGAATTCAGAGGTAAACATCTGTAGTAACTTTAGCAAGTATATAATAACTCACTGCTGCTCAACCATATAGGAAGGAGGTACTTGCAGGGCAGGGGGAATCATTAACAGACAATTGTGGGTTATATTCAGAAAAATGCGGTAATTCACATCCATACACAAACATACAGACATTCCACTAAAAAAGATTTAACAAGAGTACATGCAACAATAAAGCTTCCACCTTGCATAGCTAGTTTTTTAAAAATTTAATTTCAGCAGACATTATCTACAGTATATCTCCGGAAATCTTGTGGCATACACTTGAAACATTCCTCCATCCTTCCTTCATTTAGTTACAATTTTTTATTGCTCTCAGAAGTGGTTTTACTAAACAGTCAACAGTTCAGCATTTCAAGACTAAAGCCAGATAGCCAAATCTTACTGGGAGCAAGAGTAAAAAGGCCCACTGAGGCAGAGAAGAGGGTCAAGACCAAGACCCTGATGGATCATTAAGGCGTTACAGCAGCTATGAGGCATGAAGGCAGAGGAGAGTCCAGAGACTGACAATTTAGTGACCAAACAATTGCTGTTATCTTCCCATGCATTTTTACCTTAAAAAGAAATGCAGAATATGCTAGACTGATTTCTAGTTTCTTTCTCTCCCCTCTTTCTCTCTAAAGAGTGACATCAAGTATTCCTTTGTACAGATAAACACTACATAGCAGTTTTATAATTCTGGATTTTATTTTTTCTATAGTTTCTGTTGCCAGCTACGCTAAGAAGCACAAGATCACCAAGGAAAGGCTTGCAACCTTTCCTTCAGCCTTAGCATCATTCCAAAACTACCGTCTCTGACACCCATCACCTACCTACAGTTTTATATACTCTTTTATGTGCAGTTACTTAAACTGACAAAAGGGTTAATTTCACAGCATACAAACTAAGCTGGTGATTTCTGTAGCATCAAGTCATAAAGAATTTCAAAGTTTCACATACACTGCTGCTGCTTACACAGTCTATGTTTTGATTCAGTAGCCTTACCACACTTCTGGTGTGACCGTGTCATTCTGTGCTCTCCATGGTTTCGTTCCATAGATGGCTTCTCCATTGACTTTCAGCCAGGCACCCATCTGCCTCAGGCGTTCCTCAAATATAACAGCGATGCGACCATCATGAGTGGGCCCAATATTCATCAGGAGATTTCCTCCACAAGACACTGTTTCTACAAGTTGCTGAAATGTTTTTAAACATATGCACAGAGCACATGGTTACGGCTAATGAAATCATACATTTGAAGTACTTTCTGAAGTCTGCCGTACTGCTTCAGAACAATGAACTGAACAAGTTATGTTACTGCTGCCTGTTGAGACTTTGGGGGTCATCCCAACAGTCAACACAAAATTTAAGCTCCCATAAAACAAAGCTCCGCTGTCAATTTTTATGGCAGAAAACATCCCAAAATAGAATTTTGCACCAATGTGTGTGACTGAATCTACATTAGAATCAGATCCCACAACTTCTTAACGTTTTGACTTCTGCAGCAATTTCATAAGTGTTTTACCGATAGGACAGATAGATTTCTCTACACGAGAGGAGAATAAGGCTAACGGATGCCACTTCATTTTTACTGAAGCTGAGAGAAGCAACTTCCTCCTTCCTCGGTTTGATGCTCTCCCTATTTTAGAGAGACATCTGTAAAACATGAGGAAGCCTTCAAGAGAGTCCCATAAATATTTGTGTTCACATCCACACTGCCCTCCAGAGATCATGGACCAAGATGCACAAGTCTGAGGAACAGACAGCTGGAGACAAGCTACTGAATGAATTTAAACCTGCCTCTGAAAAGAGGTTACTTCAATTTGAAATTATCTTTTGCAAGGACAGTACTAGGAACAGATCTGGATTAAGCAACAATAACAATCTTTCCCTCACTAGCTGAATTTTGCAATTAAATGCATTTATCTGAAAGATTGATTCAGTTTTCCTAAGCTTCAATTCTTTTTTTAATACCTTAGACTAGCAAAGGGAATCAACATTCTATTAACACCAGCTATGTGCATCTACTAGTGTTTATCTGTATGTCTGTAATAAGTGTGTTGGGTTTTTTTCTTTAAACGAAGTGGGAAAAAAGGAAAGTTTCTCACTACAAGGTAAAAAGACTATTAAGAATTATAAACTGTTTCTAGCTAGACAGGGGAAGAGATGTAGCCTTCAATAAGGAGTTCCTAAACAGGAACAGTGAAACTGCAACTGTTTGCTTCCCATCAACTTAAAGGTGCAGTTACTAGAAAAACTTAGTAGAAAAGGTAATTATGAGACTATCCGGATCAGTCCTTGGCCAGTTACTCACAGGGGAAACAGCTTCCAAGAAACTGAAATTTTACTAGGTAGTTTTTTCTTTCAGTCATTTCTATAAAATAAATAAGAATTACATGGATATTCCATCCTGCCAGTCTTAGGCTACAAATGAACAAAATTATTATTTCATCAGTTAATAATTTTTTAATAAAAATAGATACATAATTGAAATGTTATATAGCATAATATCAGGAGGGAGAAACAGAAGTTGCAGGCAACTCCTTTGTCCCTCTGTACCTTCACCAAGTCCTCGATTGTGAGGTAATCGTCAAGCTGTGCGTTCCTCCTGTACCCCCATGACCTCTTGTCAATAGTCATACAGTTCTCCCACTTGTGAGGCAGGAAGTGGCCGGGGTTATACCGGTCACTACAAGTGTAGAATCCACCATGTGTACAGATGCTGCCAACTCCCCAGCGGTCATTGGTCACAACTGTGTCCCGGACTGGACTGGAAACAGAGAAATTTTATTATTTTTATTCTATAAAACGCACTCACAGCCAGTGAGTCAGTGCCAGTGAGCCAGCCTTCTCACATGCACACCCCTCTCAGAAACTAACATTTAGGATGACTTCTGTACTATTAATTTATAACAATTAGATCAGGAATCCTATTCTCATCCTTTGCTAGTAAAAGGTCCAGGTTGGCATTTCTTAGGGAAATACACTTGACTTTCACAGGAGGTCTGCCAGAAATCAGCCTGCACTTCACATTCACAACCAGATATTCATTCTGCTATGACAACAATGCACCCATATTCTCAAATTATCCTGCTACACAATACTTAGAGAAGAATATGATTAGGTAGAATAGCAAATACCATTTTAACTAATTAATTTGCAAATGTGGTTAAAAAAATATGAAGAAGTCTTCTTCTAAAGCAAGCCTTGATAGTTGTAGGGAAGACCTGGATTTCAGGAAAATTAATATTTAGTTAAGTCCTCATGAAAAGAGGTAATAGGTTCCACAAAATATATAGAAAATGAGACAAACAAGACACAGAGCAGAATTTCAGATAAGGAGCTAAACCAGCATCATTATGTACCTGTCATTATACAGCCAAGCCAAGAAACCAGTGCTGTTCCAGTAAGTATCTGGTGCATTTCCATTCCCATCAGACCAAATTATTTCTGGTTGGTACTTGGTCACAATTTCATAGAGTTCTGGTAAGGATTTACTAGCTGGAAACTTTCTTGTCTTAAAGACATTGGTGGCATCCTCAAGGAAAAGAGGATTAAACCATTCAAACAGGGAATGATATAACCCAAAACGCAAGTCAGTCTTGTTTCTAACAGACATTGCTAGTTCAGCCACAAGATCTCGTTTCGGTCCCACATCAACAGCATTCCAGTTCCAAGAATATTTGGACCCCCACAAAGTAAAGCCTGAAAAGAGAAAAATCGAAGGATAAGAAAGGGAAGCAGAAGAGGGGAAGTTATAGTTCCTCTTTCTGGAAAGTAGTTTGCAAGTGTGTTGCAAAAAATAAATATAAAAGCCATATATGTAATAAAATTGTTATTGTGGTATAAAGTATGCCTATAATCTGTTCATGCATGATGACAGTAGCCATAGCATCAGATATGAGTTGGGTTTTTTGGGGGTTTGGTTTTTTTGGTTTTTTGTTTTTTTAACACATATCCATTTATATTTTCCAGTTCTGTACTGCTTAGGATAATTACTCCTTCTCCTTAATTATTCACTCCATTCATATGTCCCCATTAAATTAACCAAAAATACAGCAACTTCCAAGGCATCTACATTTTCACTGAATGTATCACATGTGAACTGTGAATACACATTCAACAATTGGAAGATAAAATGCTCTCAGTTGCAGAATGCACAAGCTATCTTTTGCATTCAAAGACTGTTCTCCTCCCTTCTGTTTACATCTTCTGCAATGTTCACTTTTCATTTGACTTGACATTTGTAACACCTCAATCAACTACTCAGTACATGTATATAAGCAGAGTGCAAAAACTCCTGAAACAGCTTGTAAAGTATCAGCGTTAAACATCACGAGGGATTTAACATTTCAGACATCCAGCAACCCAGAACAAGCACTTACAAGTACTACTGCACTGCAGACTTAGACCACTGCCAGAGGAGCAGCACTCTCACCTTCAAACTGCTTTACACTCCTTGCCTAATAAATCTCGCAATATTTTTGTGAACTGGATACATGCAATTGTATTGACTAGACAAACAAGCTAAAAATTCATGCCCAAGGCTACAGGACAGACTAAATGAATCATGGTTCTTTTGAAGTCGCTGGGAATTACGCCACGAACATCATCAAGATCAAGATTTTACGTGTGTCAGAGCTGAGATTTAAATTCACAAGTTATGAGCTGCCAGTCTTGAACCCACATCTCCCCAAAGACCAACAACGTTCGCTAGATGTACTGTCACATTGCATCTTAGTATTTTATACTTTCTTTGCTACCATATTTCCTTCTAACCACTTTACTTTTCCTGCAAAACATCTTACAATTACAGCGCCAAAAATCACTTGTGCCTGTAAAGTAACAAACATGGTTCAAGGTTTTGGCTTCTACGCACTGCATCAGAAGAACTATACCCTGTGTACGTTTCTAACTCTGAAGTTCACTCCTGGAACATGCTCCTAAATTCCTTGGAGAAACCTATGGAGCTCGTTAACTGCCTGTACACAGGAGTCCTCCATATGTTAAACAGCGCAGAATTCACTTTTGTGGTTCCTTGAGCAATGAATTGCACAACAATAAAAAATAAACTATGGCTACTGCAGGAAGCTCAGCTGCCCCCACCAGTTCAGGCTGTCTTGCCTACAGCAAGAACAATGGCACAATCTGTTTTTTCCTCCTATGCAGGCTTCAAGGCCATAGCTTTTGTGTAAGAGTCAGAAAAATGCATGCACATGTCTTGGGTGGTTTGCTTCCTCTTTGGCTGGGTTGGGGCAGGTAAGCCTGCCTGGCTTTCTCTAACTCTCTTAGCAGAAAAGTCACCTGGATTTTTCTTCTGTTGAAAGGAATGCAACAACTACTAACATTTACAAACCTTCCACTTACCTTCATGATGTTTTGAAGTTAAGACAACATATTTTGCACCTGAAGCCTTCAGAATATCTGCCCACTGGTTGGGATCAAAGAATTCTGCTGTAAACAGTGGCCCAAAATCTTCATAACTGAACCCAGGTGGGTAATTTGCCTCCATGAATTTCACATAGGGCGCTCTCTTTTCCTTCTGCCAGTACCACCTACAAAATATAGAGCAAAACATGCCTGCTGGTTTATTTTTAGACAAATAAAAAGAGAATTGAAATCATTAGCTCCTATTTGAGCTCACACTGAGAGGCACATGCACTGGAGGTACTCAACACTGGCAATAAGACAAAACTGCTTCAGAACAGGATTATCAAAGATTTCCTTTTCTCTTTGCCCATAATCTACATCCTTCAAGCACTCCACTTCTGAAAGGTCCCAGGATTTCATTTGGAGCAACAAAACAAAGCAGCTACGCTTTGAGACTGAAAAAATGGCAGTCTTATTCAATACCCCAATCCCAAAACTCTACTAGAGAGCACAGGCAGATGGTCCAGGTAAGCATCTGTTGTGGTTTAAGCCCAGCCAGCAACAAAGGACAACAGGGTCGCTTGCTCACTCCTCTCTGGCCCTGGCCTGGTTGGGATGAGGAGGAGAAAATATAAAGAAACATCCATGCATCAAGACAAGGACAGGGAGGGATCACTCACCACTTATGGTCACGGGCAAAAGACAGACTCAACTTGGGGAAAAAACAAAATCAATTTTATTTACTACCAATTAAATCAAAACAAGGATAATGAGAAGTAGAACCAAATCTTAAAACACCTTCCCCCCACCGCTCCATCCTTCCTGGCTCAACTCCACTCCCAATTTTCTCTGCCTCCTCCGCCCAGCAGCACAGGGAGACCCAGAATGGGGGTTGCAGTCAGTTCATCACACATTTGTCTCTGCTGCTCCTTCCTCCTCAGGGGGAGGACTCCTCACTCTTCCCCTGTTCCAGCATGCGGTCCCTCCCACAGGAGACAGTTCTCCACGAACTCCTCCACCATGGGTCCTTTCCACAGGCTGCAGATCTTCAGGCACAGGCTGCTCCAGCACAGGTTTTCCCACAGAGTCACAGCCATCTTGAAGGGCATCTGCATGCTCTGACGTGGAGTCCTCCATGGGCTGCAGGTGGGCATCAGCTCCACCATTCACCTCCACGGGCTGCAGGGGAGGCACCTCCTCCCCCTCCTTCTTCACTGACCTCAGTGTCTGCAGAGGGGTTCCTCTCACATTCCAATCCCAGTACTCACTGCCAGTTCCCCTTCTTCAATCTGTTCTCCCAGAGGTGCTACCACTGTCACTGATGGGCTTGGCCTTGGCCAGAGGTGGGTCTGCCTTGGATCTGGGGAAGTTTCTAGCAGCTTCCTGTAGCCCCTCCCCCACTACCAAAACCCCACTACACAAACCCAAAACCACAGCTCAGGTGGCACGAGGAACGCACTTTTTCTGGACTAACATGACTCGCCCTCCTCAAGTCTCACACATCAGCCATCTCTGCTCTGCCCCCCACACTGCAGCTCCTGCAACCCACAAACATGCGGGCCAGCAGCTTTACCTCTCTGCTGGTCCAGAGTCCTCTACACCAAATGCAGCTGAGTGACCTGATGTGTGAGTGGATGCCCACAGTGCCAGAGCAGGAGAGAGCTGTGACTGCAGTGCACTGCAGCCGCTGCATATTGTGAGGCTCTGAAGCAAAGGCACCCTACTAGAAGGCATGTCCTCCAACAACATGCCTCTGCAAGAACCCCACACAATTACAAATGCACATCCATCACAGGCTCTAACACGCAGGCACACAACTACCGACCTACCAGCGCACAGAGATTTAGGAACCAGAAGGAAAAATAAGCTGTTAATCTCTTTTTGCATCCCACCTAGCAAGGACAGAGACAGTTTCTATCCTGTGCTTCCCCATAACAGTGACCAGTATTGTCACCATTCCAACTGGTCTAATCCACAGCAAGGCTTGGAGCTCCGCTCTGTGGTCCAAGGGTGGTCTCTCACCCTCGTCGTGGTCAGAGATCACAAGTCTCCAATAGACCACTATTTATTTTCAACCTGCTCCATCCCCCCCCTTCCTAGCAACAAAAGAGGAGCTCCAGAAACAGCATGCAACAGTCCTTACTGCATAAACAGCCTTATTGCTGGAGACCTTCTAACAAAAACATATGTTGTGACTGCTAATACTTACAGAGAAAAAGGTCTGAAAGCATTCACCTTTCTATGAATGAAGCCGAGCAGAAAAAATGCTGTTGGCAAATTTAGACATCAACAAAACAAACTGAAAGTGAAGGAATAAAACAGGCCAGAATCTGTATGTTTGAAATGCGTTTCTCTCTCCTGTCTTGAACTGGACTCTGACATCAGTTCTGCAAGACCACAGTAACCATATGGCTATTGTTGTAACCTTCCCAGAGTTCAGCATAAACAAACATGATCTCTAGCAGCCAAGAGGGAAAAAAATCTAGGAGAAAGAGGCTGAGACAGCCTTCCTGACTAAAAGACCCTGGGAAAAAAAGAAAGAAAAAAAAACACTCTGATTTTAAAGTACGTAATTGCATAAAAAAAACAGGTAACATCTTTGCTTCTCTCCCTCTGTCACATGGTTTGCTAACATGAGCACTTCTACTCTGACATGATTAGATTCTAGAAACATCCTGAACAAGGCTGTGCAGCTCCAAGGGAAGGAGGATGGGCTGGGTGATATCAGAGTTTATGAACTTCCATTTGAAGCTGCTAACACAGGACCTCAATCATCTGACTGCACATGCTGCCAGAAGGCCTTGAAGCAGGTCTACACCCACACGTGCCTAAGGATGGGAGGCTACAGGATATAAAACCCAACTTCATCAACTATATTAGATGTTTTGGGGTCTTTTTAGAACAACAACAAAAAATGAACACTTGATCCTGAGTCTGGGCACCACTATCACAGCACAGCATTCAGAGTAAGGCTTGAACCCAAAGCTAGCTTCCCCCCGCACAGGGAAAGTAATTTATTAGTAAACAGAGTCCACTTAAAAACCTGCTGAAACCCTTGAACATAACTTTGAAAAGAGCAGACCAAATATTGTCAGAAAACAATGGTTTGTTTATATCAATGTTGGTTTGTTTTATGAATATTACATTTAAGGTTTACCATAGCTCTGCCCCAGAGCTATCATTATCTTCATATTGTAAGTGATGTGACTCACTTTAAGTCATACAGGAAGTAATTGGCAGAGCATAGAAAGAAGATACAGCCAAAGGGCCTGAACCAGTGAACACTCACAAACTAAAGGTTTTATTCAGCCTTCGAATTGAAATTATTTGAAGGATCAGAGCTCTAGGCTCTTTTAAGCAGAAAGTACTCTTTAATAAAAATAGTAACAAAAAAAGAAGAAAACCATCAACTGCACAAAACATACACAGGAAAACTGCAGGCAGTTTGCCAAGCAAGGGCAGCGATGGAGGGAGCGATGGACTCCTGTACTCCTCACACAGCGCCACAGCACTCCGGAGGGCAGCAGCTGTGCAAGGCTTCTCCGGGGGCTGGGAGATCCCCCAACCCATCCCCACAAGGCCTGGAGAGAGCCCCTTCATCCGTCCCTCCATCGCGGCCCTGGAGAGACCTCCTTCTGCCACTCAACCAACCGCCTCTTTCACCAACGCTGTGGAAAATGTGCCTTTCAGCTCTACAAGTCCTCTGCTGAATTTGATTAACGTTAGCCGACACATTCAGGAGGTTTAGGGCTAGGCAGACAGAAACTCAGACATACCAGAAGCACATGAAACTCTGCTTCCTTCATGAACGGCGCCATAGAGTCCGTGGTCTCACTGACTGGCCTCAGGTGGAAATAAACCTCTTCCCGCACACCTCAGCTCCAGGGCCATCTGCAGACGGGCTTTAAACCTAAGCATCACTTTAAGGGGGGGACACCAAACCAAGCCCCACCTGCCCGAAAAGCCGCTCTCTAAGCAAACCCCTCAGATCGCTGGTACGACCCATCCGCAGCAGCTATTTCGGTGCGACCCTCCCAGCCGCCGCAGGGCGGCCGCGCCCAGGGGCGCCGGGGCCCGAGGGGGCTGCG